ATATATATATATGAATTGAAGAAAAGAACTTACACTGAAAAAAATAAGTAAATAAATAAAGCTGAAAATTCCTTATCTGATCTTTTTTGGTGACTGTTTGGTTGGAACTTGAAAGTATTTTGTGGGCATTGAATTTTTTTCATTCAAATGAAATTCAAATTAAAAATTGGGGAATTTGAAAAACCCTACAATATTTTTCTTTTGATCTTGAACTTAAAAATCATTCAAGTCAAATAATTTCTGATTCAAAAACATTGTTGCTCGCAATTGTGGATTATTGCTGGCACTAATGCTATTCATTATATTTTAATGCATTTGAAATACATCAAAATTTTATATTAAATATTTTGTTATTTTTTTATTGGCATCCAATGAAAGAATTGATGCAATCTAAATTTCTATGTAATTCAATTATTTTGCATTCTAAATTGCATAAAATCTTAAAAACACTTCTACCAAACATTCCCTTGGAATAATTGTTAAAAGGTTTTTCTTTCTCCATCAAATGATGTTCTCGTTCGTTTTGCAATGCTTTACGAATCTTCATAATTTTCTAATAGAAAATAAAACCATCGTTAAAGCCTCAAAACCATTGAGCAAATTCTTTTGTAGTAGAGATGAATTAAAAGAATAACATCAATTTTAGCTCTTAGTACTGTTGTGCAAAGCAATGCGGAAATAAAATCAAATAATAAGCAAATGATCAAGCAATGTGTGATTTACGTGGTTCAAGGTAAATTCATCCAAGTCTATGGGGATGGGTTATTCTACTATCGATAAGAGTGAGAGTAAAAAAATAGCCGAAATAGGGTTATAGCTCCATACATAAAAGTCAGTCATAATCTCTTCTATAAATAAGATAAAATTATGAATATTTTTAATATAGAAAAAATCATGTAATTAGAACTTCACTAATTAGGTTACCCAATATTAATCTTTCTAATATAGAAAAGATCATGTAATTAGATCTTCTTTAGTTAGGTTCTATAATATCAATTTTCTTAAGATATAATTTTTATAATACATAATAATTAGGTTTAATACTTTCTGCAAAAAATCACCTCATCATCTCTCACTTTCAGATAAATGGAGATGACCAAAATGAATTTCAATACCAAACCAATTGCATTAAGATGGTTGCCAACATAAATCTCTCATGAAGAGAACAAGCCTAGTGCAGTTCTGCAAAATGCTCAAATGAGCAATCAATTATGAGCTCAAATATTCACCAAATTTTTATTGTATGTGAACATTTGTACTAGCAGTTTCTTTGTCAGCATATTTGTTAGATTCTCATTTGTATCTATCTTCTTCAACATAACATTACCGTTATAAATCAAGTACCGAATAAAATTGTACCTCTTATCATTGTACTTAGTACGAACATGATGAACTAGATTTGGGCTAAGGGCACTCTAACTATTAAAAAATAATGTCAGAGACTCTTGATCAAATCTTAATTCATTAAGTAGGTTTTGTATTCACATCGCTTCCTTCATCACCTCTGTGACTATCATGTACTCTCCCTACGTAATAGATAAAAAAACATTAGACTAAAGAATTGATCTCCAACTAACTGGACCTTCTGTCAATGTGAATAAATAGCTAGTCATTGACCTACTCATATTCATATCACATGGAGCCTGAATTGGTGTGCGTACACACAAATCATCAATAGATGACTCTCTTTCAAACACATAACCAACATCAAATGTACCATTCAAAACTCAAAATAATCTTCACTGCCTGTTAATGTCTCCTTCCTAGATCATATATGAGCCCGCTCATAATACCAACTGTTTTTACAATGTTTGATCGAGTACAAATCATGACATGTATCACACTACTCACTCATTAATATAAGAAATTGATCACATATCTTTTCCCTCCTTATCATCTTTAGTATATTGATATAATTTCAACTTAAAGTGAGATGCAATAGGTACACTCACCGTCTTACTCTAATCATTAACCTTAAATGTTTTCAACACTTTTCAAACATATGCTCCTTATGAGAGAAAAATTTTTTGCAGCACCATTGCCCCTGAGAATCTTCATACCAATAATTTTTTAGAGTTCACCCAACTCCTTCACCCCAAAATATTTGGATAACTGTATTTTTATCCAATTAATTTCAGTTTAATTAGTAGATGTAATCAACATGTTATCAATCTATATAAGCAATTAGATGAACTCACCATTGACCAAATTCTTAAAATATGCACAATGAGCAATTAGATGAACTCACCAATAAAGTCTTCTGATACCACATATCTAAGCTGATGTAACATACATATCCTCTTTTGTAATTCATTATGTAAGAACATAATCTCTACATCAAGCTACTCCAAAATTAAACTATATTGTGCTACAAGTGCAAGAAGAGACATATCGAGAGATGTTTGACCAATGGGAAAAACACTTTATTATAGTCCATCCATTCTCATTACGCAAAGTCCTTTTTCACTAACCTAACCTAATACAACACCTTTACTTCATGAGATATTTCCTTCTTTACATACACTCACTTCCACCCAACCGCTTCTCTTCTTGAAGGATGCAATAATTAAAAAAAATTATAAATAAATTAATTACGCATATTATTCACTCAAATAAAGAAAATGATTTACATCTACTATAAATAACTATGTCCATCTAATATAAAATTCAACCATCTAAGTGTGTAAAGTTTGCTCTAAGCCTCTAGCTTCTGGCAAGCCATTTTTGGCTATAAGAGCATGAATTAGGACATGTAATTATTTTTTTATTGCAAAGTTAGAGAGCCAAATATATTGTCTCTCTCACTCCTTTCTTATGTCTATTTCTCGAGTGTGATTCAATGACAAATCATAATTCACCATTATATATAAGCATAAATAAAATAAAATAAAATACCAATAATTAGTTCACTTAAATAGTTGAATTTAATTTTTAAATTTATTAAAAATGATATAACAGTTGAACAAGTGATAGGTTAGTTATTTATATCGGTTTCTAGCCTTAACTATTAAAGAAAATGGCTTTTCTAAGTTAAGTTTTCATATTAATTATGATAAACTACAATAATTAGATAATAATTTTAACTTGTTCGGGAAAAAGAAAATTGCTATTATTACTTAAATGGCTCTGAAATTTTTAAAAAATCTTGTCCTACATTTTACATCTTTTGTCTAATGCTTCGCTGATGGCCAAGAAACAACCTTTATCAATAGAAATAAATAAATAAATAAATAAATAAATAAATAGAAAATAATAAGAAAAGGATGATGATCCTATAGACTAATTCCCATAAATATAAATATCTAATATCCAAAATTTGCTTTTTATATTTATAACACCCAAATCCAACTTTTCACATAAAAAACATCACCATAGAAAAATAAAGTGATATAAATGATATGTATGTAAGAATTTAAAGTTCAGCTCTTAAATGTAGGGTTGTCAAAAAAACTCGTTGTTCTCGAACAACTCGTGTTCAGCTCGTTAACTAGCTCTTGTTCGGCTCGTTCGTTAAGTATACAAGTCGAACACGAACAAATTTGTAAAGCTCGAATTATAAATGAGCCGAACACGAACAACTCTTTGTGCGCTCGTGTTTCTAGTCCTTGAAATCACGAAATTTGTAAAACTCAAGCTCGGCTCGTTTATAACCCTACTTAAATGTGTAAATATCAAAGAAATAAAATTCAGATGAATTACATAATCCACAACAAAATTTTACATTTCTCGCCCTTGAATTCACGAAAAATTATTCCATATGGATGCATACACTGTCCAATCTATCACCGTCGTTGTATTTCAGTGGCTCGGCTTTTATTTTTCTTAAAAAAAATAAATTGGAATAATTTTTCCCAAATCTCATATAGAAGTACTATTAGGAATCCCCCGTCCGGTGACCCCCGCCGCCGAGAACGGCTTCATGATCTCATAAGCTAACACGCCCGCCCCCTTCCGATTCCTCAGCCCAACATCCCCATTCCTCCCATCAATAATCCCCTCAATCTCCTTCAACCTCCCGCTAAACCTATCAAAAGCCGCCCTCACCGCCTCCTCCTCCTCCCACGCCTCCTCCGCCGCCGCCCCCAAATACTCCTCGTCCGGCGAATGGCTCGACAACAGATCCAACACCGCCATCACTATCGTCGCCTGGATTTGCGACGGGAAGCATTCCATCAGCGTTTCCTCCGGCTCCTCCACAAACTTCTTGAACCCTACGCAGCCGTCTGAATTATCCACTTCGGTCGGCATTGGGGTTCGAGCAATGGTGGGGCGATTGGGGAAGTAACCACCGTAGTCATACTGGCCGAAATTGACGGCAGCGTGGTGTGCGGAGGCTACCCAGATGATGGTGGTCAGAACCCCGGAGAGGATGGTGTGGGTGGTGAGGCTCGGCCACCAGGGCTCGTCCTGCTTGTCGGCGTGACCGTGGGTGCGGACCTCGGTCCAGAAAGATTGGAGTTCGCGGTCATCGACGATGGTGGAGGGTTCTGGGTAGTAGTGGGAGACGTAGGCTGAGACCCAGTCGGAGATTGCTGACCAGATGAGTAGGCCATCGTTGGCGAAAGGGTAGTCGGAGATGGCTAACCTTAGACCGTACTCTGCTTCGGGTTCTTCCTCTGCCATTCCTCTGCGCGGAAAGCGGGTAATGGTTCTCAACAAGCAAAAATGAAATAGAAACAGTTTATTGTGATGTCACCTTCTGATCAGATCTGCAGGGAGCCCCTCCTTATCAAAGCGCCACAGTTGATCGTAGGCAACGGAGCTAAGCTCCATCGAGTACTTCAGTGGCGAGAACGATGCTTCGATGATGCCACCAGCAGATATAAGATACTTGCGTGCAAGCGCGTTGATATTCATCGTATATCGAAAATGAGGATGCAGAAGCCTATACACTGGATGCATAGTGCTCAGTTGTCTGTTCGCGGCAATAATGTATGGTTCAACAGCGCAATGTGTCCTCAACCTTGAAGGATTATTCATGCAGAAGTAAGTAATTTGCCTTAGTTAATTCTACAAATTTATGAGAGTTGTAATATAGATAAGTATAGATACCAGTGTGAAATAAGCTCGTGGTAGCCCGAGTCATGAGCACAAACATGAGCCTTAGCGAATCTCCAAAGCCAATTCTGTGTGGAATCTGAGCTTGGAGTGAACACTTGCTTCCATGGGGGATTCTGAGGACAAGGAGGCCGAGTGAGCTCGATGGCGATGGGCGTCAGAGTGTTGTTGCTCTTGAGGAAGAAGAGGGTACGAGAACCATACAGGGTGGTGCCATCCAATTCCCTAACTTTGTGAACATAAGGGAGAAAAAGGTCATGGTAGTCTAACATGAACAGTCTCTTTCTCTGCACTGCCTGTTTATATTTTTCTTAAATCAATTTTGGTTGAGTTCTGTTGATATTTTATGAAATGTTGTATGGAAATGATATAGCACGCACCTCTGTTGCAGACATCTCCCCATTGAGTTCTCCTTCGATTATTTCGTCGGTGATGGCTGATTCAGGCGGACCATAAATGCTGGGATCAAGCTTGCTAATTAGAGGGAGTTTCTGCAAAATGATGCATGGTATGAATAAATTGTAGTTGCTGCATCTTAAAATTATTAAAGATTTTAGCAATATATATAGTTTATTTCTAAATACGTTGGTGATTGTTATTGGTGCAATGCAGAACATATACTTTGAGAATAATGCGAGATTTAATTCAAACTATTCATCTGTAGAAATTAATTTAGAAACAAAATAAACAGACAAAATGTATTAAAAGTTTTATGCAGATTCATGCGATTAACGTCTTTCTCCTTTGCTCTGCTACACTCCTACGCGAAACCATTATAAACATGTAACAATTCTCCCTTTTCCTCATACCACATTTGCAAGCTTAATCATTGCTAAATCCCATAAATCCATATTTCAAATTTATCATATTTTGATATAGCAAAACGGTATGCATGCAAATCACTTGTGTTGAGAAAACGAAGCAATAGAATTTGCAGTTTGAATCTGATAAACCAAGGGGCTGTTTGGTAGACTGATTTAACCAAAATTTGTTATGCATTTTTCTTCTAGAATTTTTCCCACTATTGCAAAACGCAAAAAGGAAAGGGTTTTAATTTATATATCTACCACCTATATTTTAAGTTTTATGTTTACACTTGAGATTTCATAATGTGCTAGCTTGTTGAGTTTGGGCTGTTATGAGGTATATATATGAAGTATAAGTTTTCTCTTTCTTTTTCCCTATTTATCCATCCATCTATCATATCTTACAGTTTTTTATTTTTTTTACTAGTGATCTAGCAACATTTATTTGAAAACTGTTTTTATTTTCTTAATAGCGGCTTTCTTCTTCTTTTCACTTTTCAGGCGGTACTACTCCTTCAGTCTCCCAAAGGTGACACGAATCATGTCCTTGTTGGGGGGAATGACCAAGGGATTTTGTGTATTCTCCATAAAAGAACTTGAAAGTCGACCAATTCAAACAAAAAAAAGATGCAAAATAATTATGAAATGTCAAAGAGTCTTGTTATGCCTTATTTATTAGGCTCAAGTGTGTGAAAATCAAAAGAGTTCAATTATTGAATCGTTGATTAAGAATAAATTTTATATACTTTTAACATTCAAATTTTATTATTCTTAACACGTTAACATAGCTTTCAAGAAGTAAAAGAATCAAGAAACTAAAATATGCACATTTAAATGTGTCGGTGTTGATTATGAGGAAATCTAACTGTTTAGAAAGAGAAGAGTGTGATAAATGAGGATCCATTGATAAAAACAGCAGGAGGCCCACTTAACCAACCAAATGTCAAACAAGCCAGAGTGTAGCTGAGCGATTGACTGATACATTTAAAATACCAAGAATTCAGCGTAAAACCCCCATTGAAGCAGAGGCAAAAATATGACATCACCTTATTTTATTCTCTCTCATATAAATAGAGAGATCATTTCATGTACAAAGGAGGGCATATTAACCCAATATTAGCCAAAAAGATCGAAAAAGGTCAACACGATTGGGGTGTGATTGACGACACATTCTTCTCCTACCACTTATTTTTACTTTATTTTAGTTGTAACATATTTATCTCATTGTTGTTCTCCTACTACTTATTCTGCCACACTTACTCCCTCCTGATCAGATCCAAGCCTCATTTTTCCTTATGCATGACCGAACTCACTGCAATTAAATCGAAAAAACATATCTTCGCAGAACAACAAGCAGAATCCACAACATAAAAGAATATACATAATATCTGAAAAAATAGCTATATATATATATATATATATATATAGGATAGAACTGATATGGCTAAAAGATACATGTGCAGACCTTAACAAGCTCAATTGCATAAGGGTTGACGCCTGCCAGTGTTTGCCTTGCGAATTCTTCATCTCTAAGCCATGAGAATTTATCCTCTACAAATTTCCAAGCAGTCAACTTCGTCAGCTCAATTAATCATCAAAACAAATTATATTTGATAAACTCCATCTTTCTAAAATATTCAGATTTCAGACTTACTCTTAATCAGCAATGGAACCTCAAACTGCAGGACGTCATCAGCACCGTCTCTTATATTGTTGCAGAGCTTCTGCAGCGTGGCTTTTGCCCCGTGAAGGTAATCTGGAACCTTAAATCCTTCGTCGTATAATTCATCAATTTCTCTGAAGTTATTGAAACCAAGATTTATGTCGATCAACGCAGAGTTAACTGCAGGAATGATTCCGTGCAGAACTGAGGTCAACGTCTTCCCGGTGAAGGTCAACGACTTGATTTCTGAGAAGGCCTCGTCCCTTGGCACATATATGGATAAGCTTTTTGACTCTGAAGGGGGGTCTGTTTTCACAGATATAATTAAATTTCTACTTCGACCAAATAAATAAATAAATACAAAAGTTATAATAGTTATTATGTTTTTATATATTTAATACATAATTTTTAGGGGAATTTACATACATATCATACAATTCTTATATGTATTTAAATATTTCACTCCTAAACTTTCATATGCAGGCTCTCAGCATTAAAAGTTTTAGCATCACATTATAATTACCACTAGTATCACCTTTAGAAAGCCAAATATATATATTTACATGCATATTTTTAAAACAAATATAAAAACTTTGGTGTGAGATATGTAAACACATAAGAATTGTTTGCTAGGTATGTAAATTTTCCTAAATGAATATTTACTTATAAAATTCAATACTGTTTCATCAAAATATATACATAAAAAAGTATATTTTACTTTGTAAAATTTTATGAGAAACATGCAAATTAACGTCGGATTATATTTCGACGTAGAATTAGCATCAAATTTGCATCTATTTATCGTCAAATATTATCAGCTGTTTAAAAAAAAAAGGCTCAATATTGTAGCGTCGACTTTAAAGTTAATATTAGAGATCATTTATTTTATTGTTATATAAATAAGAATTAAAATTTAAATATTAGACACTTAAATATATAAGAATTATCAATGTGATCCTATGCATCAAATTCTCCTAAAAAATATATAAGATTTGTGTTAATCACCCCAAAATTTGTGCAGAGCAATTCAAGCCCCGCCCCAACATGATAAATTTGTTGATGAAGCATTGGTCACCCCCTGGTTTCCAGACATCGTTGTCAAAGAATTTTTTGTTTCATGTATGCCGCATTTTATAAGTTTGATATTTATAATACTTTATTGTCATAATGAAAATATTTACTTCACATCTTTTTTAATATATATATATATATAAAGTTTATTTTGGGAGCTCCAATTTTAAAAAATAAATATGTATATAACATATATATTTCAAAAGCTTATTCAAAAAGGAATTAAAGCATGTTTAACTTATAATAATTGATGAAAAAATAGGAGAGATTTTTCCATCTTTTGCACCTTTTTTTTAAAGGAAAACTATATTTACTTAACAAATTATTTTTTCTTAAAAATTTTATATTTACTTAACAAATAATCAACAAATTTATCATGCTGGGGCGGGTTTTGAAATATATATGTTATATACATATTTATTTTTCAAAATTGGAGCTCCCAAAATAAACTTTATATATATATATATATTAAAAAAGATGTGAAGTAAATATTTTCATTATGACAATAAAGTATTATAAATATCAAACTTATAAAATGCGGCATACATGAAACAAAAAATTCTTTGACAACGATGTCTGGAAACCAGGGGGTGACCAATGCTTCATCAACAAATTTATCATGTTGGGGCGGGTCTTGAATTGCTTTGCACAAATTTTGGGGTGATTAACACAAATCTTATATATTTAAGTGTCTAATATCTAACAAAATATTTCTTCTACGAAACCTAATTAGCCATGCATGCATGCATAACGAGTATTAATTATATAACTGGACCATCTAGCATTAAGAAAAAACATTAGATTTGAATTTCATACCCTTTCGTGATCGTGGACGACCGGTTCTGCAACGACGAGGGTAAGGAAACTGTTTGCTTCCTCCAAGAACTGGTCTGGTTAGGTCTTCGCTGTTGTCCGGATCGCCGAGATCATTATAAGTATCGTAGTCATAAATCCTATCGCTGGACTTGCGTTCTCCATGGCCATCTCCTCTCTTTGTCTCCAGATCTTTGATCCTCAATCTCTGCAGGCCACTTGGGGTGCTGGATGGCAAGTAGGACTGCATTATGATTGAAGAACCAAGGTTTGGTTAGGGACTCTCCATGTCTCTAGCTCTTATTAATCGTGGCACATTTGAGTCTGTTTTAGCTGTCCTTTTGCGCTTTATAAGACTTGTAATTATCGATTTGGCGAGAAATTTATTCTTGCTTTTTTATAATTTTCAAAAGAAAAAAATTAATATAAAATGTTTTAGAATATGTTAGTCATGTAACAATTTTTTTTTAAGTTATCTAAAAAGAATTGTTATGCCATCAACAAATCTCTATCATATGTCATGATTTTTTTTTTTTTTTGCATTAAATATTTTTAGGTTCAAATTTAAGATCATTTGGGGCCTCGATTACAACAAGTTTATACTCAAACCGACCGTCTCGTTAAGACGAACCCAATGATATCAGAGATGGATCAATTCGAGTGGAATCGGGCATGGATCAAGCTATTAAAGAACATTTGAAGGTTTTGGATCATTAAGTGAATGGTCAAATGAACTCGAAATTTATCATACTTACAATCAAATCAAACTTCTCGACGAGAGAAACCATCATGCTCAAGATCACTCAATTTTGTGATCATTAAGGCTCTCAAAATTATTAAAAAACCCTTAAGATCAAGAGGAATCGATGTGGGTCGTTTGATCAAATAATTACGGAAGTTAATTATGTGTCAAGGAACCAAGATGCCCTCCTCTAGAGACTATAATTATTGTTAATTATGTGCCAAAAAACCTCTGTTTGGCCCAATTTGGTCAAATTGGGCCAAATGGGTGGTTTGGTTCTTTGGCCCTCTGTTTGTCGCCTTCTGTGACCCCTACTTGCTAACGTCGAATATCAAATGTGGTGACAATTTATACATCATATTGAAGATCAGGTGTTGACTTTCTAGCCTTCATAACTGTCGACCACCGTCAATCATCGCCCGCCCGTCGCCTTCAACCACCACTAGCCCCCTGCTCGCCACTATCAATGACCTCTACGTAAAAATCATATCCCAAATATGGTTGTAAGGTATAATGTCATACTAAAGAACCGTCAATAACTTTTGCTCTCTCTAGCCGCTATCCATTGTTGACCATCATCAAATTTCACCACATGTTGTCATCGATCACTGACCACTGACGACCACTACTAATGATTATCGTAACTGGAATACGGAGGTTGTTCTTAACACATGTTTTTTTCCTTATATTGTTTACCGACAAGTGTTGTCTCAACTATAAAATAGTAAACCCGAGATAATGGTTGGAATCACCAATCGGTGTAGCCTTCAATGTGTCCAATATGACCAATTACTAGTAAAAATTTCAACTATAGCATATTTGTGGCCAACTTACATTTTTGTAGCTACCAATTATAGGTTATGTGGCTAACAGCTACTCTAACTTTCAACTATGACCTTTGTATCAACTAACACTACTGTAGCTACAAACTATAACCTATGTGATCAACTATGACCTACGTGACTAACTACTAGTACAACTTCTAACTACGACCTCTGTGGCCAATTGACAATGTTATAGCTACTAACTACAACCTATGTAACTAACTGTTATTGTAGCTTTTAACTACACTCTATGTGGCTAACTTTTATTGTAGCTTTTAACTACAACCTCTGTGGCCAACTGACTTTATTACAACTACCAACTATAACATATGTGACCAACTTTGGTCTATGTGACAAATACTACTGCAACTTCTAACTATGATCTATATGACCTAATGTCATTGTAACTAACAATTACGACCTATGTGACTTACTATGACCAATGGGTTAATTGCTACTAAAACAACCAATTATAGCTTATGTGACCAACTAGGGTTTATGTTGCTAAATGCTACTACAACTTCCAGCTATAACCTCTATGACCAATTGATGCTACTTTAGTTACAAATTATGAACAATGTGACCAATACGACCTATGTGGTCAACTGCTACTATAAATTTTAACTATAGTTTTTTTGTCCAATTGAAACTATGTTTATATATAAAGTGTGGTGTATATTCATAGAAGGAAAGTACTTCGTCTAATTGGGAGTTGTTTAGTTTCACTTATGTGAGGTCATGGGTTTCAATCCCTTGGCCTTCAGAAAATCGAATTATTTTTGCTTCGCTGGAGAGGTGGCGGCTAGAGGCTGGTGGCTAGTGGTGATGGGTAATCGTGGCTTAAGCGATTGTGACCGAAGGCAAAGGTTTACAAATAAAGGTGACATGCAGCGACTACCAAACTTGGTGGAGGCCAGGTTGGTTGGCGGCGGCCATACTTAGCTAGATGTGGAGATGACCAAAATTGTTTTGTAGTCAGATGTGTCTGACAGTGGCTACCGGAGAGGGTCAGAGGTGGCAATAGTTGGAGCCAGAGCTGGTGATCGTGCCTGTGGTGGTAGCTATAAGCAAAAATTGGAGGCTGAGGCCTGTGGGGATGTCTGATGTAGAGGTCTTCGGTGGCAGCTATTGGCAGCATGATCAGAGCACATGGATGGCAGGCTACCATTTCACTGATTCAGAGATGCAAAATCATACAATGAGAGACAGGAGTGATCTGGTTGATGATGGAGGACCACATCAGTGATTTATAGGCATGGATGGCGGGCGACCATGTTAGCATTCCCGAGGATGCTTGATCGTAGAACGAAAGGTGGGAGATCTCCAATGGATGGTAGATGATCGCATCAATGATCTGTGAGCCAAACCAATATTGGATTTTTTTTTAATACTTCTCTTTTGTTTTTGGCTCATTTTGAGACTATAAATAGGCTAATACGGAAAGAAAAAAGGTGTAGTCCCCTAGCCTGCCCCTGCGATCAACCGGGCTCCAGAAAAAAAAATGTGGAGTCCCTCGACCTGTTTGTGCAATCAACGGGGCTCCCCTTTTGCATTGTTGTTGTGTCTTCTAGAGAGAATTTTCTGCAATACTGTCACACTTCCTGAGAGAAACTTCCCGCGCGATTGTACTGATTTTTTTAGGAGATTTTTGTGTTATTATCGCATTTTCTAGAGAAGATCTTTTGTGATGTTCTCATGCTTTTCAGTGTATACTTTGCACGTTGATGTTATGCTTTCTGGAGGAGATCTTTCACGTTGTTGAGATGTTGATATATGGAGATTTCTTTCCCCTTGAAAATCAATAGAAGCACCAAAATTTTGATAAGGGGATGTCAACACTATTTGAGGATGAGCTAAACCTTTCATCAAGGGCATAAAAGAACAATCGTGCGATGATCAAACACATCTTTTGCTAGCGTAAGAAGATGATTAACTCTTTTGATATGCACACATAGTTGGTGAATCTGTTTGCAAAGTGTCATAATGACTTATCCTCCATGGCATTTTCTTTTCCAATCAACACTAAAAACTGATGGATGCTCAAGAAGAATTGAATGAGACATGAGCTAACATCGACCGGAGGGCAGAGACATTATAGGAGTTTTGGTTGAGGATGTTAACCCATGAACAAGATAATAGAAAGGTGATCCCATTTCTATTCTAAAAAATAGAGAGGTCAAAGGAAGCTCATGGAAGTGTACTTCTAGTGATGTTGAGATTAACATTAATGTGGATCATTGTCTTTTCTTCTACTGACATGTTGTAGAGTTATACTAGTATTTATTGGTCATTGTAGCTTTTCATTTTAATGATATGATATTTGTACATGGTGATAATATATTTGTTTATACTTCTTTATTTTATTTGATTATGAAAAATTTTAATACTACTTCGAAGGTTTCTTTTGCCTTTCCTTCCGAGCTATAGTTTCCCCATCTCTTGTGTGGTTATAATAAATGTTTGACTTTTTCTAGTTGATTTGGTTAGAGAGTGTTTGCTTACTGACCACATTCTACGGTGGAAGTGTTATTTGTAATTCATGAAAGATGCAAGACTTGTCCTATATTGTATGTCAAAAGAACTCGAAAATGTTAACACGTATTAGAACATAATGAAAAGAAAAATTTGTTAGGGGTGTAAGACCCTTCGTAGGATGTATAGTTGGAGATGTTCCACGATGTTAACATGTAATGAAAAAAGTCATATAAAATCTACCGATGATGTTTGATCAATCCAAAGTTATTAGTTGAAGCTTCTGCTTGATGACCCTAACGTCTTATGAAAGAGATCAAAGGGAATTTATCAAGAATTTTTGACATATCTAAGGCTGTTTTAATCTTCTGCTTGATGACTGTAGCCTATGATGGAAGAGGTTGAATCCAATCCCCCTGTGATTGATTAAACAAAGAATGAGGTATCAGAGATACTTTGTATTTCTAAGACTAGTGTTTAGTTCACAATGAAATATACTTTTTTTCTTGGAAATATGACTACAACCCTAGTCAAGAATAATGTTTGGTAACTTTTTAGTTGTTTTTTTTAATTTGTTGACTCTTAGCCAGTGTGTTTTTTCATAGAAGCTTATAAAACAATCCATGTATCGGACATAGAAGAGATCTTGATCCAAATGAGAAAGTCTCCAATATCGTGGTGGGGGTGATGAGGAGGCACTATTTATAAACATTACATGAGAGCTTAAAATTAGCGTCGACATTTTGCGTCCGAAGTTTTTGACGCAAATATTTGTGTCGGCTTTTGTGACAGATTTGCATCGAAAATAAATTTATTCTATTTGCATCGGAAGTTGTGTCAGGTTCACATTTGAATATTCGACACAACAACGATGAAATTAACGGTGTTGTTGCGACACTTTCTGCGTCGAATTTGCGTCAAATAAATTGATGCAAAAGCTTTACTAAAAATCTTTAAAAAAATTCCAAAGTAAGATAAATGATAAATTGGACGTAATAGACCTAAAAAACTCAACCTGCGCCTTCCAATTCATTTTATTCTTCGTGCATCCATCTCCTCTCCTCCCTCGTGTGAACCAAAACCCTAGCATCACCTCTCCTCCCTCTCACCATAGCTGGTCGCCGTACCTCCCTGTCGGCGGTCGTCAGGCCTCTCTATAACCATTGAAACCCCGTCATGACCATAGCATGTCGCCACATGTGAGAGGAATGGAAAATTTCACTTCACCCAGTTTTTTTTTCCATTTTTTTACATTTGATATGTTTGTATTTGAAGTTTAGGTGTTCGAATGTATATGCATAAGATTTCAGTGGTATGTATTTAACATTTAATATTTGGGTGTTAGGCATGTATATACATAAAATTAGATGTTAGCTATGGGATAGTTCTAGATGATGGTCCCAATGTTATTATGACTGGGAGAAAAATAGCTTTAATTATTTCTCATTTATTGCAAAATTAACACCATTATCTTCTGCTAACTCACAATCAATACGATGGAACTCTTTAATACTAATACTTTTTAATAATAAATAAAATATAATTTTGAACATAATTAAAATATGGTTAATATGTGTTTGAGCCACCTTTTCTATACGAGTCTCCGACCACTCCTAATGTGCCTAATAATTTGAGCACCATCTCTTTAAGGCCAATTGTGCCAGAGGGGATTCAAACCCCGACCTGAGGGGTCTTATACCGTGAATGCTAACCAACAGACCGGCATACGCGGCACATATAACTAACCTAGTTGTTTCCAAGTCTTTTAAAATAAATAATATAAAACAACTAACAAATTAATAACCGCAAGCCCAAAACAAAAATTAGGAGTTAACAAACCTTATTAGAGAAGAAGATCCTCTTCTCAGAGCTAGTCGACTTGGCCTGCACCCATGAATTACATGTAATGACTGTGAAATTTTCGTCTGATGAATTGCCAGAATCGACAACAACTTCTTTTAGAAATATTTCTTTCTGATTCTCATTCAAAACCAAGACTCCGCCGATCTCCCCAAAATCGCTCGGGACTGTGAAAGACGCCTCGTACTTTACTTCTTCCCCATCCATGCTCCTCCTGCGAGCATTTACTGCTACTGTTTTCTCCAATTCTGATTCTGAAGAAAGACAGAAAACATACATAAATAACTTTTTTATATGTGTTGGTTAAATTTGTTTTGTATATTTGCAGGAATTAAATTTAGGGTGCGTTAGGGGTAGCTTGTATCCTGAAATGCGGTCCGCAGGTCGACCACAGGTTCGACCCTCGGTGGTCTACGTTTAATATAAAAATGGAACCATATTTTTTTAAAAATCACCCTCACACTTAAAAAGCTCCCCAAACGGGTCCTTAAACTTTTAATGATAACTTTAAATTTTTATCAGTAATGAAGTGGCACCGCTTAGCTGGATACTTGTTTTTATAGTAGTCTTTAATATTTGTTTTAACTGCCAGTTTGGCTGCATGGGCTGGCTGGCGTAGTATAGCACATGCATCAAGGCTACAAATTTATTGAATTAAAAAATCCAATAAATAATAGTAAGTATATCAATCAAAATTGTATTCAAAATAAGTTTTAATCCTATAAAAATTTTCAGGGAGTTTTGATTATTTATTTAGCATAGTAATTTTTAAATAAATCGGCTAAATTTAAGAAATATTTTAATTTTTTTTACAATAAAAAATGGGAATAATTTTGAAAATTTAGACAATAGCTTTATTCTAGAAAATAATGAATTTAATTTTGTGTCGCTAGCATAAAAAATCAAGCTTTCATAAAATTAATATTTACGTACATACCACCCAATTCCAGTCAATTTACATATTTAACACCTAGACTTCATTTTTTATATATAGGCCGTCTTATATGCATGCATGAAAATGTGTATTTCACTCTTATAAGTTAAAATAGTGATATTTCTTAGGTGATGTAAAACATTTAGGTGGTACAAATGTAAAAATAAAATAAAGGTGTTTGAAATGTAAATAAATAAAAAGTGGGTGTCATATATGTAAATGCTTTGACAAAAAGTCGATGCTATAGTAATTAATAACCTGCTCTGATGAATGAATAAGATAGAAAAAATGTGGACCCACACCCTTTCAAATTATATTTCGAGCTAAATGAGCTCATTTTATTTTTTTAAAAAAATAAAAATAATAAAAATTAAGCTTGAATGCAAAAACATATCATGATCAATAATGATGAAATGAAGGGTGGTGTTGCTTGGGGTGACACGCTTCATCTCTATGTTTTTACCTTACTCTTTATTAGTATCATCTAAGAAAATTAAATTTTTGGCCCTCTTAAAATTGAACACTTACTAATAAAAATCTAATATTAATTACATTTTAAATTTAATAATTATATTCGTAATAATTTTAATTTTTTTTAATAGGAGAAAAATTTTTTAACATAAATACCCAGCATCTATTTTCAAAAAATTTAGTTTCAATTGGACGACATTATATATATATA